GTTGGATTTTTATGTTTTTGGTGTCATTCGGCACAGTTCAACGAGTTCTATAACTTAAGTCAGACTGACCATTTTTTAATACTATGAGGATGAAAAAAGGAGGGGAACGAACTTGAATTTTACCCCTTGCCCATTATTTGCCTTTGACCGTTTTATAATCGAAAGAGAAATTTGAAATGAAAGCATAAAAAGGAAAGGTGAAGGAAAAGGGGGACATAAACGATGTAGGTGTATAACACAAGAGTACCGAAAAATCTAAGATTAGATTAAGCGACATATAAGAGCGGTGACATTATACAACTAGATCCGTCTATATATAAATATAAATTCAAAGCCTAACTGTGTTGTTTTGGTCACATTTGGAACGATTCATATAACCGGAGATTTGGATCACAAAAGTATGGCAAAAATGTTTGAAGAATTTGAAAAACATAGTCATTGTTTGTGTAAATGGACGGCTCGAGCCGCGGACATTGAGTCGGGTCCATCCCTTTCGGGAGGACCCGACGTGTCCTAACTCTTCTAATTAAAGTTTAATGTATATATAAATATATAGATTTAATTCTTTATTTTACGATTAAAAAATAAGAGGGGGAAGAAGGATCGGCCAGTAAAACTTAAAGTAAGTTAAAGTGAGTCTTTTTGGCTAAACTGGCCCATCCTTATATTTGGTTATTTTTAAAGAATTTTGTGTCAGCTGTTTCAACAAGTATATAATATTGGTCACCTAAAAGAAGCGCGCCTCGCGCTTTAAAATTTGGTTAAAAAATTAAAAATTATATAAGCGCGAGGACACCTTCACATAAGTGCCCAATATTATTTTCAATTTAGAAAATCGACTTTTTGTTATTTTATGTGTATTTTGATTTTTATTTTTCTTTTTGTTTCTTTTCATTTCCAAGTGAGAGAGAGAGAGATTTAGAGGAAAAGCAGTAAAGCGGCCAAATTAAGTTTATATTTCAAAAGCAAAGAACTGTTTCACCAACACGTGTTGATTTTGGTAATGGTGCAGAATTGGGGAGACACTTGTTTTGGATCCAACAGCAATGTAGGGGAGGGGAGGGGACAAAGGAGAAAAGTAGATACTGACACCTCCACTTCATTTAACATTCCTTTCAAAAATTAATTTATTATTCTTCCCAAAATAAATTATTAAATTTATTATTATTTTTTTTTTTAATTTTATTACATCAATTATTAAAAATGTTTGCCATATTGATATTGTTGTTGATGCTCAATTCCAGCCGGCCCTGTAATTTTTTTTTTTTTTTAATAATAATAATTTTAAATAATTTTTGTGTTTTTGTTGTTGTAATTAAAGTATATATGAATTTTTGTCTGAATATTTATATTATGTGGTGTGGTCTAATAAAAATTAATAAAATAATGTTGTTTATTAAAGAAATTTTTTTGATTATTTGGTTGTTATTAGCAAAGAAAATATTTTTATTGAATTGATTATTTTTAATTATTATTTTTGTTGTTTCATTTTTTTTTTTAAATATCCTTATATATTTGGGGTTAAATTCAGAAAATCCTTTATTTCCTCCAAATTGTCAAAGATTCTATCAAGTACAAAGCTGGTTATCAAAGTATTTACTCCCATTTCCGCTGTATTTGGTTTTGTTTTCTTCTTGTCTTTCCTTTCCTTTTCATCAACATATCCTCCTCTTTTATAATATTTATCCCGATTTACGTTAGATGAATCCTTATATTTGTATGAGCATCCTTGTCTTCGATCCGGAGATATTGTATATTCATTCCTAATACCTCTTCCAACGACATGTTCATCAAATCTACTTTGTTTGGTGCGGATTTTCTTTCCACTCCATGGTTCTATTTTTTCCTTTTCTTTTAATTCCTTCAAGTATTTTTCTTTCTCTTCCGGTAATTTATCCACAATTTCCTCCTCAACTTTATCCTTCTCTGCTCTCGAGATTACCCTAGTAGCGAATTTTTTAAATTCACTTTTCCCTTTTTCTTCTTCCCATTTCTTTTCGTATTTAGCTATCAGTTCCTTTTCTTTTTTCTCCAATTCTCGGGTCATTCGTTCTTGCATTTTCTGCTGGCATTTATCGGCTTTCTTCAACACATTTTTCCAAATATCCTCATACTTTAGCTTCATATCCTCATCATATCTCGATCGAATCTTCTTTAATCGTCTTGCCGTTTCCCAATCAACAATCTCGTCTCCGTTCTTTATTTTCTTCTCCTTTTCTTTTCCTTTATCATTCTCTTCCTTTTCCTCTCCTTTTTTTCTCTTTTCTCCTCTTTCCTTCGGGATTATTTTATTCCCAATTTCTTCTCCTCTTCTTTTCGCCTCCAAAATTCTAGCCTGTTTTCCTTCCTCTTCTTCCTTCTCTTTTCTCTGTAGTTGTTTCTCCTCCTCCTTACGCCTTCTTTTTTCCTCCTTTCTTTTTTCCTTCTCTTCACATGTTATAGGAAGAAGACGCTCTTCGTCTTCCGTTAACTCAGTAGACGAAATATCCTCCATGTGCCAGGGTAATTTTTCTTTTATTGAAGTTTCGTTGTCGGAAATATAGTCGGAAATACTTATTATGCTTGATGTTTTAGACATATCGAAAGCCTGTAATTGATTTTGAATATTATTATTTTCGGTTTTATTGTTATTGTTAGTTTGTGTTAATTCGTTAGTAAAATCCAGAGCAGCGACAATCGAGTTAATTTGTGGGGATTCTCTAAATACTCCTTCCTCGTCGTCCGAAATTTCGATGTTGGGATCCAAGATCATTTTCTGGTTTCCTTTATTTTTCTCCTCTTCTGAGTAAAACCTTTTACATTTATCACTGTGTATAAGCCATGCATTTTCTAACATTCCCGTCTCAGAGATTAATAAATTTGGGGATTGAATTTCAATAATTTCATATGGGCCTTCCCATTTGTCACCAAATTTCCTTAGATTTTCCATCTTTTTCACCAAAATTTTGTCCCCCTTTTCCCACATTATTTTATTGATTTTATTTTGCTGATGTTTCATTATATCCACATTTTCTAATAATTTAGATTTCACATCCTCCCTAACGATAGTAATCCTTTCCAACATCTTTTGAACATACGAATTCATCTCTTTATATTTTTCTCGCTCAATTCCCAGTGCAGCTTCTGTAGGCAGCTTCGGTAGGAATCCATGCACCACAAAAAATGGGGAATTTCCTATTTGGTGATTATATGAGGTATTGTAGGCAAAAATAACATGGGGCAGCATATCAACCCAATTTTTCCCTTGATCAGTACACGTCGCAATCATATCAGCAAGCGTTCGATTAAAGCGCTCTACTAGTCCATTCGCTGATTGGTGATAAGGGGTAGTAGGCTGGTGGCGAAAATTTAAAGATTTAGCTAAATCTTGAAATGTTGATGACATAAATTGGGTTCCTTGATCAGTTATAATTAGCGAGGGAATTCCGAAACGGCAGACAATTTCTTTAAAAAAAATGTCAGCAATTGTGCTGGCCGTTTGATTTCTTATCGGCACCGCCATTGCCCATTTACTAAATGAATCAACCGCAACGAAAATATATTGATGTCCCCTTAAGGACTTCTGAATAGGGCCTAGCAAATCAATATTAATTCTGTCAAATGGTCGCGAAGCAGGTTCAATTGGGTAAATTTCTTCGCGACTTAGATGTTTTCCAACTATTTTTCTTCGTTGGCAAACTTCACAAACTCTTATTTTATCAGTGATATCTCTAGTCATTCCTTTCCAAAACATAGTCCTTTTTATTTTTTCTAAAGTCCTTTGGAGTCCAAGATGAGCACCCTGAAGCGGATCCTCATGGAATTCTTTTATAATTGTATTTTTTAATCCTGCGGGTATAATTATTTTCCAATCATTTTGTATTTTTCCACATATTAATCCATTTATTATTTGAATATTTTCCTCCTTATTTTTAGTCAAATTGGTAATTTCCTTATCCTCCTTTTGTGCCTCCATCAATTTTTCAATAGAAATTTTATCTTTTAGCTCTATGGCTTTAATTTGAATATCCTCTTCTGGTGGGTAGCGTGAGAGGTGATCCCCAACTTTATTAAATTTCCCAGGTCTATAAATAATATTAACATCAAAAGCCTGTAAAACAATTTGATAACGCGCCAGTCTTCCTTGGAGGTCTTTCCTCCGAAAAAGTGAGGTCAGCGCCGAATTATCGGTAATTACTGTAGAGGTTCCAGCTCCTTCCAAATATACTCGAAATTGTTTTAAAGCCGAAACCAGAGCCAATGCTTCCAATTCTACAACACTATAATTTTTCTCGTGTTTATTTAGAGTCCTAGAATAAAAAGCAATGGGGTGAATTTCCTTCTGGGCATTTTCTTGTAAAAGGCACGCTCCAATAGCGGTTCCACTGGCATCAGTTTCTAAGATAAAAGGCTTCCCAAATTTTGGTGTTGCTAAAACAGGGGCAGTAGTCAATCTTTCTTTCATTTCTTCCAAAATTTTATCATGTTTTTCAGTCCAATCCCTAGTAGATTCCTTTTTAGTGAGGTCATAAATAGGCGCCATAAGTGCTGCGAATCCCCGAATAAACCTCCTAAAGTAACTAAATACTCCGATCAATGAGCGAAGTTCGGCTAAATTTTCAGGTTTCTTCAATTTAAGAATAGGCTTTAAATCAGAATCATCCATCCGTACTCCTCTTTCGGAAATTAAAAATCCCAAATAACGAATTTCAGAACATCCCCAACGACATTTTTCTGCTCTAAGTTTCATTCCAACTTCGCACATTACATTTAAGAAAGCTTTTAAATCCTCTAAATGTTCATTTTCTGTCTGACTCCCCAAAATAACATCATCCAAATATACTAAAAAGCTTCGAGATAATTGTTGTCTCATCTCTTCCATAACCTTTTGAAAAGTATGGGGTGCTCCTGCTAATCCAAAGGGTAGTCTTAAAAATTCGTATAGGCCACAGTGGGTAATAAACGCAGTCCTTTCAGTATGCTTTTTATCCATTTTTACTTGGTGAAATCCACTTTGTAAATCAAAAATAGAAAATAAACTTTTCCCTCCAACTACGTCCAGTAAATCCTGAATTCGCGGTAATTTCTTTTGCATCTGAAATAATTTCACTTCCTTTTTCTTTAATGTTTACGGCCATTTCCTTCCCAATTTCGATTCCATTACTCATACTATCTTTTATACCCTGTACCACATCTGATGTAATATTTTTTGCGCCTTCTGGGAATAGATCTATCGATCCAAAAATTCCTGTCATAACTTCTTCAACTTCTGGTTGATGAATATCCATAGGCAGATTCAAATGTGACTGATGTAACAAATCTGAAAATTTTTGCAAATCTCCTTTTATTGTTAATTTTTCTCTTCCAAAAGTGTTTCCTGCTTTGAAAATAATTCCTGTTCTTGAATCAATTATTGGTTTAATAAGTAAAGAATGTTGCTTTTGGTTAAAATCCAAAATTTTAGTTTTATTTTCGACAATTTTCTCCTTGTCGCAAGGTATTATTTTTGCTTCCGAAATTAAATCAGGACTTCCTGGAGATGCAAAAAGAATTTTCCCTTTCACTTTAATAGGCAGTAAATTATAACAAATTCCATTAATTTTTTGTTCCCAAATTATTTCTTCAATTTCAACAGGGGTGCACAAACTTAATGTCCATTTTAATTTAGTATCTTTTTCCAAAAAAGCAGTAATATCTTGTCGTCCATAAAGCAATCTAGCTGCTCCCCTCGGGTTTTGTTCCGCTAAAATTTTTGCTACTCCAAGTTGGTGATTCCTGGTTAAACATGAATCAGTCCATTGGTCACGCATTATTTTCTCTCTTTCCTGCGATTCTTGCCAAGCCAAATAATTTAGCCTACTTTTCTCATGATTTTGTTCTATAATTCGGTCCCTTTCACTTTGTGCTTCCTCCGGGTCAAAAAGTTCTCGTTTATTAGTTAACGGATTTAAATTTTCCTCCCACGTACCGGGATCACCTTTTGGTCCTGGTAAGCCATCTTTTCCATTCAGTCCAGGACTTCCTCTTTCGCCTTTCATACCGGCTGGTCCCTGCGGCCCAGGCACTCCGGGTTGTCCATCATTTCCATTTATCCCATTTATTCCTTTTTCGCCTTTAGGACCCGTCAATCCCTGTAACCCGGGTAATCCTGCTTTACCGTCTTTGCCTCTAATACCTGGCAATCCTCCCAATCCTGGTTGTCCTGGCATTCCAGCATCTCCTTTTTCTCCTTTTACATTTTTCCCAGGTATTCCATTCATCCCTTGTGGCCCAGGAAATCCATCCATTCCTTTAAGCCCCGTCATTCCTTTTTCTCCAGGCATTCCTTTTTCTCCTTTTAAATAATTATTTTTAACTTGTAAATTTGGTTGTTTCGCAGGAATATAATTGGGAGGAATATCAATATTAGAATTAATAAAATTATTTTTTTGAATAGGCAAATTCGTCGTCGTGGTTAATATTGGTCGTTTTGTTGGTAATATCGGACGAATTGTTGTTGTTGTTAATAAAGGCAATTTTGTAGTTAATATTTTTGATTTAATAGTTGTCGGAATAGGTGTTGTCGTAGTTCTTCTAAAATTTTGTTTCTTTTGAATTTGTCGTTTTCGAATTATTTTTTCTGGTGTTTCCTGAATTTTAATTAATACATCATTATCCATAAGCCAAGCATCGTTAGGAACTCCTAAAATATAAGAATTCCTTGTTTGATTTTCCAAAGGAGAGAAAACATATTCTATTTCTTCAATTTTAACCAATCCAATATCAGAATCATCCTTATAAAATATTTCAGCTTGAGTTGGACCAAAAGGATAATGAGTATAAATATATTCCTCTGAGGGAGCATTCCAAATAATAATTGAATTAAATAATTCGTGGTCCTCAAACGATCCATTAATTTCATGTGCCTGTAAAGAGTTTGAAACACCGAAACTTGTTTCGATTTTCTTATTAATTATTGCTCCTTCCCCTTCTTCCAAAAAATAATTTTTTCCTTGAACGCATTTTTTACCAAACCAAGCATATTCTTTTTGAATGGGGTTAGGCGTTTTCCATGTCACCTCATTTAATCTAGATAGTCTCGAACCTTTGGTCATTTTTCGACAAACTTCAGGGGAAGTAATAGTTTTTTCCAATCTTAGCGGTAATTCGTCCGTAAAAATTTTCAGAAATGACTCAGTGCATTTTTCGTATTTTTCAATCCAACATCGGTATATAGGAAAATATCTTGGGACCAACTTCGGCAGGAAAAGAGTCACATTTTTTACTTCCATTCTATGGGTTGGTGGTAAATTACAGTCCTGAGTTATGGGAAAATCCATAGCAATTCCTATCTTTTCCTTTGGGCATATTTGATATTGAGACAGACTTCCTGGACAGAATGCCAGCAAAATCATCATTACAGTAATGAATGGCATGGTCATACTGCTTATCCTAGCTGAATTCGAAGGCCCAGCTCCCGATTCAAAGTTTCGTTGCGAACTTATTGGGATTCGATTCGAATTAAAGGCTCCGGCTCCTCTTCTCTGACCCCACCTTCCTTGAAAACCTCCTCTATTGTAATTTCCACGCCAATTATTTTGATAGCCATTCCTATTTTGTCTGTAAAAATTCTGGTTTCCTCTATTCCCTCCAGCGTTCCAATTTGCGTTAATGGGGAAATTTCCTCGTCCACGCCACTCATTTCTTTGTCCTCCTCTCCAATTCTGAGGAGGGGCACCTCTTTCTCTATCGACTCGCTCCTTAATCGCATTTACTTCGGCACGGACCGCATTTACTTCGGTTAAGGCTTTCTCTGTTAAATTATTTTGATAAAAACGACACTTATCTTCCTTAAGCGCATTTTGAATCTCCTCAATTTCTTTTGCGCTAGTAATAGCCTCTTCCATTGAATTAGTAGGTTGAAATGCCAATTTCTCTTTTATTTCCATTCTTAATCCATTTTTAAAATAATCCTTAGCTATATCGTCTCGCCAATTTTTTATTCGTACAAGTCGAGCTTCCGGGGTTTCTCCAACAATTTCTGTAAAGGAATTTTCAGGGAAAGCTTTAGAAATTAATCCTCTAATTTTTTGGGCAAATTCAAGAATAGATTCATGAGCATCTTGTTTCCTGGTCGATAAAATCCTCCGAGCCGATTCTTTGGAATTTAATTTTTTTAATTTTGATGCCAACGCATCAGTAACATTTTTCCAAGTACTTTTTGCTTCTGCGTTCAAAGAGTCATATATTGCGCGTGCCTCCTCAGTTAAATACAATGGTAAAATTTGACAACAGCGAGGCGCTGTCCATTGGTGAGCAGTAGCCAATTTATTAAAACGCCGTAGATAATTATCAAAGTCCTCCATCCCCGAATAATATTCAGGTAAAGGTAATCCATTAGAATTAATTCCAAGATTTACAATTTCTTTTTCTAAATTTGTAATTTTTCTTTCAATACCTTCCATTGTTTGTTGTCGTGTTTTTCTTCTGATTGGGGTTGGTTCCTCTTCGTCAGCCGTGAACAATTCGTCTTCCGATGCCAGAATTGAATAATATGGGAAAGGTTAAGAATATAATAAAACAAGAATGATTATCCGAGTAAATAGAATTAAGTTAAAGAATAAAAGTTAATTGTCAGAATAAAATTGTTAAATTCAATTATTGTTGTTGTCTGTAGCGTAAATATTTGTCGTTGAAGAATATTTTGTTGTCGCTTCCAATTAGAATTTTAAGTTTTGTGTAATTAATATTTTAAATTTGGAGTGAATATAGTAAATATTGCTGTTTTCTATTTTAGTAATTTTTAATTTGGTAAATGATGACAATTTTTTTAGATTAATTTTTATCATCCGTAAAACACAAGATCACTTTTTAATCCTTTTTTGAGTAAATTCTCCTATAATAAATCAGGGCAGCACCATCCTTTTCTATTTTAGTAATTTGCGTTGTATTCTCGACCCTATCCAATTGTTATCGGCCGCTAACAGAAGAATAGATCTTTCGAGAATTTTTTTTTACGTGAACATGTCCTCCTCACAAATATTTAGGCTCAATTTAGCCCACTAATTAATTACCTTTACTTAGGTTATTTTTGGGGCCCCTTTTATTTTATTTTATTTTAGTTTTATAGAAAAGGCTATTTTTGGATTTATGCTTTGGCCCTTTAATTTATTATTCTTTTTGGGAATTGTGCTTTGAATGTTTGTTAGTGTGTATTTTGTATTTTTTGTGGTTTTGTATTTTTTGTGTTTTTGTATTTGTTTTGGTATTATTGGATTATTGTATTTTGTGTATTTATCCCATTAATTTTAGCTACCCTCGAATTTGAGGCGGTGGAATGCCCAGTGGATTTTGAATGTGAATATGGCTGCTGGGGACCGACGGAGTGGACGGAGCCAATATTATGTTCTAAAACAAAGCCTCAGTTGGTAACTGAAGCTAAAGCTCCCACTTGCCCCGGAACCCCCTCCTCTCAACTGACTGGTTCACAGCACTTCATTATTATTCACTTCACACAGGGACTGATTTTAATTAGTTTGGGTGTTATTATTTGTTTGGTTTTTACACATCGCACCACACACCCACACAAACAACAAGCAAGCCACACAAACAATAAGCCTATAACTAAAAAGAAATTAGAAAATAAACCGATTTTTATTTCGGCTGTTTAAAATCTTTTTCGTAAAATTGTTAAACTTGTTAATTCAATAAAAATTAATTATAAAATCAAGAATTCGAACACGAGTGATTAATTTTATAGAAAAATGAGTTTTCTGTAAACATGGGTTGATAAAAGTCTTTTAAGAAATAAATATTTCGTGAATTATATAACACAAAGTAAGACAGTTGTTTGATTGAAAAAATTTTTTGCGTGGGCTAATAATAAGGATTTTATTAGAGTTAAAGAAAACAAAAATATTTTTCTCAAAAGTAATATAAATTTAATAAGTGTAATTATTATAAAATAATGTGAGGGGAAATAATTAAAATTTTAAACATAAAATATAATTGAAATATTAAAAATTTTATTAAATTATATTTTTGAAGATGTTTTTGGGGAATTTTATTTTATTTCTAGGACCTCCATGTAAATGGACGGCTCGAGCCGCGGACATTGAGTCGGGTCCATCCCTTTCGGGAGGACCCGACGTGTCCTAACTCTTCTAATTAAAGTTTAATGTATATATAAATATATAGATTTAATTCTTTATTTTACGATTAAAAAATAAGAGGGGGAAGAAGGATCGGCCAGTAAAACTTAAAGTAAGTTAAAGTGAGTCTTTTTGGCTAAACTGGCCCATCCTTATATTTGGTTATTTTTAAAGAATTTTGTGTCAGCTGTTTCAACAAGTATATAATAGTTTGTTTAAAGCTCGTTTAAATAATTTTGTACCAGAAAATTATAATAAAAACATAATTAAAGTGACAGATGAAATTCTTCCACAAAAAGAGATTTTATGTAAAATGAATATTAATTTTATAATTAAATTTTATTTTAATTTTACAGCCAAAATGAATACAAAATTATTTATTTCTCATTGTGGACAAAATAGTTTGACTGAGGTATTTTTCTTATTTTTCTTTCCATTTTTTTGGTTTAAGTCAAGAAATTAATTAATTTCTATGCAATATATGCCGGTGTTCCTTTAATTTGTATTCCAACCAATGCCGATCAGTTTTACAATTCTTCTCTTGTTGAACATTTGGGGATTGGAATTTATGTAAAATTGAAAATATTTTATACAAAGAAGTTTTGGGGGTTGACTTATAAGGATGAAGTGGACAGAGAAGCTTTTGGTGTTGACTTCCAAAATGCTCTAAATAAAATGATGATTGATAAGTAATTTTTATCTGACCTACAAGGGGCCGAAAATATTTTTTAAAGACATTTACCTCGGTTTTCCGTTGATTTTCGGGTTTTTAAATTTCGATGATGGGACTTAACTGGAACTTCATTTCTTTTGTATTTTGTTTCAATATCACTTGATATGTTTACAGAAATTTTTGTGGATTTTTCGAGCCATCACTAATGTTGAAAATCTTTAGTTATATAAGTGCGCGTATACTTATGAAACACCCTATTTTGGGAAAAAATCAAAAATAAAAATAAATTACTGAATTTTTTAGGCAAGTTGTCCATAGATTTTCATGTTTAGTTCCTTTATATATTATAAAATATCTAGAAGATATTTACATAAGTATTAATGACAGAAAAATCGAAAATTTAGGTGCGCGTATACTTTTGAAACACAGTGTAGATATTTATATTTACAAGCAATTGGGTTTAAATCCAATAAATAAAAAACAAGATCATCTTCCCTGTTAATCATACTAATTAAAAATTAAAGAATTGTTTTTCATATTTTAGCAATATTTATCAAAAAACAGTTAATGAACTTCGAACAAAAATTCTCCTTGATTTAAAAGAAAATGGGCCGAAGAAAAATATTTTTCTGAAAAAGATTTCTGAAGTAATTGGAAAATAAATGAAGTTGTGAATGAGGGAATTATAAAGAAAATTTAAAAAACTTTTTGCAATATAGAGAGATTTTCTTTTAAATGTTTTTATTGCATTCATAACTTTAAAAAATTTAAATTGTTCGAAACATTTTCTTTAAAATAAATTTAAAAAATAATTTTTAAAGAAAAGTTAATGAAAATCCAATTCATCCCCCTCATTCATTCCTTTCTCCAAAAAATTTATTTGACATTCTAATAATAATTTGGGATTTCCGATATTTATTAATTATGGATAAATAAAATCTAAAAGGAATATTAAAAATAATTAGATTGATAATTAAATAAGGAGAGGTACTTACCGTAGGAAAAATTTCGGAATACTAAACAGAACGCAAATGGGTCAAACTATATGTCATTCGAAAGAGCTCGTCGAGTTGAGTCGAATGGTGAAAAAATTTTCGTGCGGACTCATACAGGGGCTGAGATATAGGCCCCCGAAAATCGAAAAACCATAGGGGGGACCAAGCACTTTTTTGGGGTAAAAAATTCGAATATGCAAATAGTAGCTCATTCGAAAGAGCTCCTCGAGCTGAGTCGAATGACACCAAAATCATCGTGATTGGACAAGTTTGAACAAACTTACGATAGAAAAACTAAAACCTAAACCTATGGGGCGTAGGCGAGGCGCTTGTGCAAAACCCCGCGCTTCGCGCGGGGTTTTGCGGCACGCGCCTCGCGGGGAGTCTACGGGCGCTGGGTCTGGGCTTGTAACATAAACCTATTCCTATCTCCCTTGCTCTGGACGTTATTGGGGCCTCCGAAGCAGCAAAAATCTCCAAAGATGCCATAGGTAAGGAGCTAAAATAAAAGATCATAACTTTGTCCAATCAAGTCGGATTTCGCTGATTTTGGTGTCATTCGACTCAGCTCGACGAGCTCTTTCGAATGAGGTATAATTTGCATATTCGAATTTTTTACCCCAAAAAAGTGCTTGTGTGGAGGGAGAGCTCAAATCTCAGTCTAGGTTTTCTACCAAGCAAATTTTAGCCTAGGTTTTTCCAACCAAAAAACACTTCAATCAATTAATAATTTTATTTCCAAAAAAAGCACAGCGTCAATACCGCAAAGAACAGTTCAAGAGAAGATCACCAAACCCCAGAATGAAAGCTAGAACAGAAGCAAGCCAAGCACAGAAAGAAGCTAATTGGGGTTTGGGGTGGGAGATTATGTAGGCCAGAAAAATAGGCGGGTAGACAGAAAAATATTTCGATCATTAAAAACATAATAGGAACGATTAAATAAAATGCACATGTTTTGAATAATACAAAAGAGTGGAAAATTAAGTTAAGTTTTAGAACAAAAGAGCTAAAAATGTAAACAGAGTTTGAATAGATGTTTACAGCAAAAATGGTTTTTTAGAAGGGTAAAAGTCCGAAAAAGGAATTTGCAATAAATGATGATTAATTTAGAAATATTATAAAAATATATTTATTTTATATTCCTCATCTTTAGTCGCTTCGCGACATTCCCGCCCGCGTCTAAAGTTTCATCCTCGATTTCTTTTTTCCATCTTTCAAGTATTTTCTTTCTTTTCTTAATCTTCGGCACATCTTCCATCGCACATCTTCTGCTCTCTTTCAGTGCATGCGCCCAACCATCCATAGTACTGAACAAAATGGCGACAAAGATCCCGCATGGATTGATCGCGACAACGCCGGTGAACAGTGTTAAGGCTATCGAAGCTCGAAGTAATCTTTTTATGCGTGCTCTATTTAGGCCATGTTTCGAGGTCATTTCTTGTTCCATCCTTTCTTTTGTTTTGCATTTCCAAAATTTATTTGTTGCGCGGATAATCATCCTCAGAGCATTTTTAGTGCCATCCAGAATCATGACAAAGGCGGCTAAGACTAGCACAAACATTTTCATATCTATCCATGAGCGGCAAAAGGCATAGAAATCTGGTGGTTCCAGTTTTTCCAGTTGGCATTTTTTGCGGTAGGCGTGCACTTCCCGTTCTAGCTTACCATTTCTGGCAATCAATTTTCGGTTAGCCTTCTGAAGGGCATTGACATGAGTCTCTTTCAGAATTCTTTTTCCATAATCATCCACAATCCTCTGATTAGATTGATCCAGCAGACGTTTGAATCGTTTAGCTTTTTTGGATTCATCCTCGGCCTTTTTGCGTGCCAACATAAGTTCGGACATCAATTTCACTATCGTTTTATCTTTTTCTTGGAGAGCCTTCGTCTTTTCTTCCAGCATCTTTTTAGCTTCAAACATCCCAGCCGGCCTCGAACAATGAACCTCGCTTTTTCGCATAGGTTCCAACAGTTGAGTTTTTGGCATACGTGAATAGCAAACCATGACGTGGTGCTTTCCTCGACATTTAATACATCGGCGATTATTCCTGCAATCAAATGTTCGATGGCCATCACTCAGGCAGTTTAGGCAACGGTTCTGCTCTAGTAACTTGTATTTCTTCGCCTTTGGGCTGCTATACTTAGAACAATGGCTTGGAGGGTGGTTCCCTCTACATAATATGCACTTTAGGCAACGGTTTTGTTCCTGTAAACGATCCTTTCTGGCCTGAAGGTTGTTATCTTTCGGGCATTCGCTTGGTAGATGGTTTCCTTCGCACAATGAAAAAAAAGGTTTCATCGGATGACTTGTAACCGGAAAAGAATGGGTTTGCTCCGGGTTTGGCAGTGGGCATCTGTCCCTTCGCTGTTGCCAATCAAATTCCTTATTAACGCTACATCTCTGGACCTCTTTTTTAACTGAAATAAGTAGGTCGAGCTCATTCCTCCACATTTCGACATTCCATGTTTGTTCAGCTACTCGTTCCTTTTCTATCAGTTTGGCAAGTATTCCTCTAGGCAATTTTTCCTTTATAGTGAAAACAATCCAGGAGTCGTCGCTAATTCCGTAGTCAGTCAATTGTCGGCATACTCTTTCAATTATATCCAAAAATTTTCGCAATTCCATAACTGAATCATTAGCATGAGGTAGGTGGTACAGCTCTGACTGTAACGATTCCTTGAGCGCACGTTTATCTCCATATCTCGCTTTTAACAGCTTCACAACGCGTGGGTAGTTTTCATTCGTAGGTAAGTATCCAGCCACCACATTCTGTACCGGCCTGTCCAAAAGAGAGAGCAAATAACTCATTTTTACGACATTGTCATAGCTGGGCTCATTGTCCACAGTTGACTCGAAAAGTTGCCAAAAGGTAGGCCAGTCTCTGGTTTCTCCCGAAAAATGAGGTAAAGGCAATGGAGGGAGCTTCGCACGTGGTTGCACCATAAAGGGCTGTTGCATTTGTATAGTAGGCGGCTGCGGCCTTTGATTTCCTTGCACCCTCCGATTTTGGTTTCCAAGGTCAGCGGTTCGGGTATCTGACACTTCGCTCATTGCCGATTGGCGTGAACCGCTTCTAGAATGGCCCAGATCCTCCATGGTTTGTTCAATTAGCACAACAACTTGACGGGCAAATTCGCATTGATCCACAAAGTGGCGTTGAGCTAACGGTACTTCCTGCCCTTCCTCCCTTTCCATACTAGCACATAGGGGCGGAAAATCCAAATATAGCGATTCCTCAGCCATTTTTTGCGGCCCTTCTAAGCTTGTCACATAATCACTCCATTGAGAATCCAATTCCTCAATTCTTCCAATGGTGGTCTCAATATGGGCTTTTTCTAGCTTCAGCTTTCTGCGAGTATCCTCATCATTTTCCTCCCCAATTATTCGATTGGCCTCAGCTGTATGCTCTTGAATGGTTTTCAAGGCAGCGTTCAAGTTTCGTCTAATTCTTCCGGACATTTGAAATAGCACTTCCAAACCAAGATTAGAACACAAGTAGCAAATTGTAGGCGGCCTGGTTCCCGGCCGTTGCACCACAAAAAATGTGGAGGGAGAGCTCAAATCTCAGTCTAGGTTTTCTACCAAGCAAATTTTAGCCTAGGTTTTTCCAACCAAAAAACACTTCAATCAATTAATAATTTTATTTCCAAAAAAAGCACAGCGTCAATACCGCAAAGAACAGTTCAAGAGAAGATCACCAAACCCCAGAATGAAAGCTAGAACAGAAGCAAGCCAAGCACAGAAAGAAGCTAATTGGGGTTTGGGGTGGGAGATTATGTAGGCCAGAAAAATAGGCGGGTAGACAGAAAAATATTTCGATCATTAAAAACATAATAGGAACGATTAAATAAAATGCACATGTTTTGAATAATACAAAAGAGTGGAAAATTAAGTTAAGTTTTAGAACAAAAGAGCTAAAAATGTAAACAGAGTTTGAATAGATGTTTACAGCAAAAATGGTTTTTTAGAAGGGTAAAAGTCCGAAAAAGGAATTTGCAATAAATGATGATTAATTTAGAAATATTATAAAAATATATTTATTTTATATTCCTCATCTTTAGTCGCTTCGCGACAGCTTGGTCCCCCCTATGGTTTTTCGATTTTCGGGGGCCTATATCTCAGCCCCTGTATGAGTCCGCACGAAAATTTTTTCACCATTCGACTCAACTCGACGAGCTCTTTCGAATGACATATAGTTTGACCCATTTGCGTTCTGTTTAGTATTCCGAAATTATACCCTTACCGTATTTACTCTAGTAATTCCCCAGTCTCTATTAATTCCCCACCCCAGCGATGGGTTGAAACAATAATCCCACTGGGGAATTACTAGAGTAAATACGGTAATTATAATAATATGTATATACGTTTATTCGAATATTTACATATTTTATTATAATTTTTAATTTAAAATAAAATAATTTTTAAAATTTTAATAAGTCCTAATATTTAATTATTACATTTTTATTTTATTCTAAATATATCTAATTCCTTTCTTTTGAATAATTTTTTCTAATATTCACCATCTCCATCATCTCCGCATTCAACATCCTTTAAAAAATTAAAAAATAAATTTTAATTATGATGTAAAGTTAACTAGTTTAATTTAAAAATTATTTCTTTGTTAATTAAAAATAATTAATTAACCTCATTATTAGCAGCATTAACAGTAAAAAGTAATGCAGCAAAGATAATTGTGTAAATAAATTTTAAGCTCATTTTTAAAATAATTTAATAGAGAAAATATATTTAATTAATTTAATTTTGTTTTAATTTTAAATTAATTTAAAGGGGCGTAGTGACAGAAGACCCACAGACAGAAGACCCAAGGACAGAAGACCCACGGACAAAAGACCCACAGACAGAAGACCCACAAGGACAGAATACCCACAGACAAAAGACCCACAAGAAAACTTTTTAACCAAAACTTAAGAAGGAATTTTCTGAAATTTTTGAAAAAGACTTTTCTGTTTTGCTAGGCACGAGATCACAAAAATATTTTTAATATACCTATTAAAAAAATTTTATTCCAAAGTTAAACAATAAAATTTGATTTATGAAAAAGTGGATTGAAGAGTCGGGTGATTAATTGGGATATGTAGGAATAGCGTGGGATTTAGAGAATATAGGGGTAAAGCCTCAAATCCACCGATGTCTATTCTTATCCGTAAATTGTTTATAACAGGAACCGGGAGAACGAATACTCCGATATCTCTCTTAGACAGAAAATCGGATATGTCAGGTGATTTAAAGGGATGTAAACGGATTTAAACATTTTAAGCTTTTATTTCTACTACTCAGAAATAATTAACTAATCTCTACTGTCCTAAAGATCCCCGATATCCTTGCATATCTACAATACACTTGACCATTTCCCTTCTATATCCCTCAATGTGGACTTAACTGACTCTCGCTATAATCGAGTTAAACTTTAAATACACCTTGATACTAAATGTCCCTTTGATCTACTTTTCCTTTTCATCGTCGCAGATAAAAATTTTGGAAATTCTGAAAGGACAAGAAGCAAGTTTTAGCAATAAAGGTGGAAATTCTTTGAATTTTGGTAAACCAATTAGTTATTTTTATGCCATTTTTATCGTTAAATCATCGTTAAAACAACTTCAACCGTTTTTGCAACAACATCCCCCATTGTTAAAATAACATCCCCGTTGTTGTAACAACTTCCCCGGTATTGGAACAACATCCCACATTGTTGGAATAACCTTCTCGATTATTGGAACGACCTTCGCTAATATCGAAACAACTTTTCCCTTTGTTGGATCAACCTCTTATTGTTGAAAACTAATAAAATTAACAACATCCCTCGCGCCAAAATTTATGCACAATAAAACTGAAAAATACTTGTGGGTCTTTTGTCTGTGGGTATTCTGTCCTTGTGGGTCTTCTGTCTGTGGGTCTATTGTCTGTGGGTCTTCTGTCCTTGGGTCTTCTGTCTGTGGGTCTTCTGCGTCGACACGATTTAAAGGTACTTTATATACCCAAAAATTAAATTTGTTTATTTAAAGGTGTAGACTTTTAATTAAAAATATTTTTAAAAATTTTTGATAATAAAAACAAATAATTAGAATATAAAATTTCAGAAAATATTTTTTAATTAAAAAATAAAACAGGTGTAAAAGTACATAAATATAGGAGGTATATTTTATTAAAAATATTTTTCTAATAAGCACTATTAAATGTACTTTTGATTAATTTAAATATTTTATTTTGCACTATTAACAATAACAACTTCTATTATTTGTTTATCAAAATATATTTTTTTGGATAAAAAATTTTAAAAATATTTGAACAAATTAATTTATTGGGTGATATTTAAATAATTTAAAATTAACCCAAAAATTCAGCCAAACCAATAAATTCTAATTAATTAAAAATAAAAAATAATTTAAATAAATTTATAATTTAAAAATGAACTTCAAATTTATTTATACAATTCTTTTCGCTGCAATTCTTTTTGCAATTAATGCTAATATGGAGGTTATTTTTTAAATTTTTTAATAAAAATTAAAAATATTTTAAGAATAGAAAGATTTTCTTTTAATTTTATAAATATATATTTAAATTAAAATAAATTTAAACTATAAATAATTTAAAATAAATAAAATATTTTAAGGAGGTTGGATGTGGAGATGACGAATAAATGAAGAAGTAGTTAATAAAAATAAATAGGAATAAATAGAAAATATATATAAAGTTTAAAGTATTGTTAAAAATTTTTTTTGTCAAATTTCAATAAATAAATATTTAAAAATTGTTTAGTTGATAATAAAATTTTTATATGTAATTTTGGTAATAAAAATTTTAAATAAATGTTTAATAAAATAAACTTTTATTTATTTAATTAATTATTTAGAAGTAAATAATTAATTATTTAATTAATTATTTTCATTATTAGTAAATAATAAGATAAAAACAATAAAAATTAAATAAAGAATCGAATAAAGCGCCTTCGAATATATCGGTTGCTTTCTATTTTTAAAGGGGAAATGGTAATTTTAATAGAAATTCATTAAATAAATAACTTAAATTTTAATAGTAAAAGTCGTTAATTGCATTTAAATGATGGTACAATTCCTGTATTAAATTCTCAAATTAAAACATGAGCAAGTATTGGTGGTGTTTAATGATAAGTAAAAATTATAGTATTATTATACTTTTTGCAAAAAGCTATACTCACCAGAGGGGTCGGAATTGCGATTTACGACACCTCTGACTGTTCCGACACTTCTGACTGTTCCGACCCACCTCTGATACTCACGGACAGATTAAGTAGTTTCAAAAAATGAATGGAAAATGTAGGTATATCGAGTATATCTAAGAACCAAGTGACTTTTGGCCTAGAGGTCGAAGAGCAGAAGTGTGCTAAACATGAATAAAGCATGCAGAGAACAAAGATATTCTCAAACTTTATTATTAAGAATTCATTTATAAAATAAAAAATTTTATTTTCAGTTTATTATTAATTAATTTTAAATATTTTCCCCCTTTCTTCCAAGAGCCAAAAGAGATTATAACAAAAAAGGAAAAATAAGCGAGCGCCACTCCTAGCAAAAAAATGCAAGAAGATAAAAGAAAAGTGCGCATCCTCTTTGCGGACAGGTTGGACACCAATTGGACTTTTACCTGCAATGATTAAGAAATTTTAATGCCCTATTTCATTTATTCGCTTTCATTGCTCTTTCATAATTTAATATTTCCGAGGGCATGCTTATTTATTACTTTAATCTAATAGAGAAAGTCGCACTATTAGAAAAAAATACGTGTATGTATCTCAAGTCTTTATTAATTTACTTTATTACATCATATCATGTAATATATATGTCGGTAATGATAAAAGGGAAAACAGACTTTTACTTAAAATTCAAAACAAAATTATATTTACTTTTTATATTTAAAGTGCATCTAAATAAAATACAAGTTGCGAAATATAAATAAAATTTTGTCTATTTAAGGTCTACTTAATTTTTGTCAATTAAGGGCTTTTCATAATTATCAAAGTTTTAGAATTAATTCTTAGTTAACAAATAGGCCCTGCTTAATAATTCACCGAAATTTTTTAATTTTATCTATATGTTATTGCTGCCCCATTGCAGTTAAATTTTATCAGAAACACCTTCTGAATTAAAAAAAATTAAATACAGAAATTTTAACTTTAAGAACAAATACGAAAAATATTAGGATTCTTTTTAGAAACCCATTTTTCCTTCACAAATTTCTCTAAATAAAATAATTTTTTGACATATAGAGAAAATGTTTAAATTAATTCTCTTAATAATCTCTATTTTAATTTTTGTGAATATTTCACAACCTAACAAAAATTGTAAATATTCGAAAAATGGGAAGGAAAATAAAATTTCTAACAAAATTTCCCTCCGTAGACACAAAAGAGGTTTAAATACAAAAAATGATTGTGAAGAAGAAGCAAGTTCTAGTAGTCCAAAACATTTAAATAAAAATTTTGAAAAACTAAATTTAACGGAAAAGAAAAGGGGGTTGTATATTTGTGACAACTTTTTCTACTCACATACAAAATTTAATGTGATTATTATTATAATTAATTAATATGTAATACTATTGGCCCCTTTAATTCTTCTATATCCCTCTAAATTCACTAATATCCCACAACCGCACCGAGAAATCTGGTTTTTTGTTCAAATTCTTAATTTACTTTTTTTGACCCGAAACCCGATCCAAAACTTTTACTTAAACATATAAACTTGAAATGGACAAAATGTGTAATTGAGTCAAAGTTTTAAAAAGATTCGGTTGAACATAAACTCTTTAAAGTTTTAAATTATTAGTTAAAAATTTCAGGAATCATTAGCCAAAATTTTAGCTGAAGAATATGAAATGGTAATTAATCTTACAGTCTATTATAACCAGGGTCTTTCAAATAATAGGACGGTTCCGGGTTTTTAGTTTTTTATCTGAAATACTCAAACACCACACTTCAAAATTTATAAGTTTACCTTTTTCCTGTTCTAGAATAGAGGTCGGCGCGGGACGGGATCCCGCGCGGGATTTTGCGGGATCCCGTCCCGCAATCCCGCACTTTTTTCGATTTGCGGGATTTTGCGGGAATGCGGGATTTTGCGGGATTTATCCCGCGGGATCCCGTCCCGCAAAGGTTTTAAAAAAAATTTCATCCCGCGGGATCCCGCAAAATATTTTGAAGTTTGCGGGATTTTTGGAAAATGGAGGATTTTGGCTCCTAACCTTCTAAATTCAAAAAATTTTCGCCTGCGGCGAAAGAAAAAAGAGAATTTTAGCTCGCTGGCCTTCCTAAAATCTCGAAATTTTTGCCTGCGGCGCTGAAGAAGGAAGGAATATTGATACTTGGCCTTCCAAAAATTTCGGCTGTCGCCCAAGGAATCATCACTATTTCATCAAAACAAAATTGACAAATTGTTAGATCACGATGATTGATCCCATTTGTTTCAGCTCAAGCTATTTTAACTCGTATACTCGAACTCGTATACATGTCCCTTATGATTTTTTGATAATTAGGGACCGGTGATAAGTGCATTTTTACCAACTTGTACTCGTAATTTGGTACTAAGTACGATACGTGTACGAGCAACGAGTACGAGTTAAGAACCCTTATTGATTAAAAAATTGATAGGCTAGGCTTAGAGTAACCTCCGTTTCCGGTTCTAGAATCTAGAACCGGAAACGGAGGTTACTCTAAGCCTAGCCTATCAATTCTATGTCAACCACCCAATTCTTTTCAACGAAGGATTGTTTTAGATTTGTTTAGAATTTCTAGCTTGATAAACCATAAATTTTTAAAATTTCATTTCCAGGATGTAGTAGTTTATACACGAAGTGTGTTGCCAAGAGAATAAATAAGAATACTCTTAACGAAAATTATTTTTTAATTTAATTTTTTATTTAAAAATATAGCAGCCATTTATCAATCATTATTTCATTTCCAGGATGTTGTAGTTTATACACGAAGTGTAGGTGGACATCCTGTGAAGCCGAAGAATGTTAATTTAATTATTAATGTTCCGATAAGTGAAAATAAATTGGACAAAAATGTTGTAGAAAATGAAGGGATTGAAGAAGCATTTGCTAAATTTAGATATAGTTTTGCATTTCTTATAGGAATTTATGAAGGTAATAAATGATATTAAAATTTAATATCTCTTTCACCTTTAAAGAAATAATTTCAAACAAACAAGTCAAAATTGGAGAGGAAATGGTTGGGGTTTATGACTGGCTAAGCAAACAAAAATATTCTTTTGGAATTGCCGAATTTAATTTTATTGTTGGCCCTTTTGCTGTTTTTGAGGCTTTAGGAATTGAAAATACTTTTGATGTTTCTGCTTCTGTATTTTTTCCTGGATATCTTCAATATCTTGGAATTGATTCGACTTTATACAATATTCCAGGTATTTCGGAGGAGCTGCATTTAATTCTCTCTTAATAGATCTACAAAAATGTTAGCCAGAAGGATATCCCTTCTTCCTTCTTCTATTTGGTTTTGGCACTGGTATCGTTTTAGTAAAGTTGATACCTTTTGGCGCAGGCATCAGAGGTGGGTCGGAATTCCGAATTCCGACACTTCTGACTGTTCCGACCCACCTCTAAGTCAGGCATCATCATTGCCGAAATCTACATATATTTATAATTTATTTTACACTTTTATTTCTAATAAAGATTTCACATCTGCATCTCCTGGAGATTGGTTAGACAATGAAGGTTTAGTAAACAAGGAAAGCATAAGATATATGGGAAATTTGTTTAAAAAAGAGGTTGCAAGTAGTGAATTTGCAAATTTTTATGCAAAACTGACTTTAGCTATTTTCAACTGTTTTTGTAACGAGAGGAATGTTAATGATTTACGATTACCTTCGTCTATGGAATATTTATACAAAAAAATTAAACTTCATTTCGTTAATCAACCCTTGCTTGCAAATTTCAAAGAATTTCCTGTCTCCGAAAAAATTACTTATATTGGAGGACTTCTTGTTGAGCAAAATAAAATTTTGATTCAAGAAAAGGTTAAAGCCGAGGATAATGAGGTAATTCATTAAGGATAAATCTAAAAATTTAGAATTTTAAAATAAAATCCTTTAAAAAATTGGACCATCATGAGAGGATGGAATATCATTCTGATTATATATCTCCCTCAATTTCACTTAGATAGAAAAGGCATTTAGCTGTTGTATTTTAGAATAGTTGAAAAAATTTTAAACCTCCTAAACTCAATGTAAGGATTGCTACTGATGTGAGAGAATTTTTCAAAATACCATAAAATTAATTCATAAAATTGGCTTTACTTAGTATAATAGTATTTACTATTCTGCTATTATCTTTGTGATAGAATAAGCTCCAAATTTTAATAATACATGGGGATCTCAGTTGTAAAAATTTAACACTTACAAGAGAGGCGACATAAAAGAGGTCCTACTTATAAATATAAATTTAAAGCCAAACTGCGTTGTTTTGATTACATTTGGAACGGTTAATTTAACCGGAATGTTGGATCACAAAAGTATGGAAAAAATGTTTGAAGAATTTGAAAAACATAGTCATTGTTTGTTTAAAGCTCGTTTAAATAAATTTGTACCAGAAAATTATAATAAAAACATAATTAAAGTGACAGATGAAATTCTTCCACAAAAAGAGATTTTAGGTAAAATAAATTCATTTGTATAATTAATTTTATTTTAATTTACAGCCAAAATGAATACAAAATTATTCATCTCTCATTGTGGACAAAATAGTTTGACTGAGGTATTTTTCTTTCCATTTTTTGGTTTAATTCAAGAAATTAATTATTTCTAGGCAATATATGCCGGTGTTCCTTTAATTTGTATTCCAAACAATGGCGATCAGTTTTACAATTCTTCCCTTGTTGAACATTTGGGGATTGGAATTTATGTAAAATTAAATATATCTGATGAGAATGAAGTGAACATTGAAGATTTTGGTAATGACTTCCAAAATGCTTTGAATAAAATGATGATTGATGAGTAAGTAGATAAATAATTAAATAGATACGTTATGAAATCTTCATATTAGCACTCATGTGACAATAATACTTCTAAGGTCCGGTGGTTAGTTTTTCATCACTTCTTAAGTCTCTGCTGCACTTTATTTGACCACCGGATTTTTGTTTGACACAATAAGAGAGAGTGTATGTTGCTGCATAGTTGCATAAGAAAGAAAATCCAGAACAGGCGTATGTTCGGCGATCACTACTTATCGGCCACTACTTACAATTGTATCTTCTTCCGGCCTTATATTATTAATTAATACCTGATCCTAGAAAAATCTAATGTTTTCCTTTTTAGTAACATTTATCAAAAAACAGTTAATGAACTTCGCACAAAAATTCTCCTTGATTTAGAAAAAAATGGGCCGAAAAAAAATATTTTTCTCAAAAAGATTTCCGAAGTAATTGGTAAATAAATGAAGTTGTGAATGAGGGAATTATAAAGAAAATTAAAATAAATTTTGGATTTTTAATTTTTTTAAATATTTTTACATTATTTTAGCTTTTTTAGTCTTTTTAAAAAGGATAAAAATTTCAATTTAAAAAGTTTTGTTTGAAATATAACAAAAATAATTTTACGTTTCAATAATAAAATATCTAAAGAATTCCTATTATTTAATAATCTTTTTAAATATAAAAAATATCTAAAAATTTTTTCAATTAATTTCACATTAATTTCACAAGTTTAAAAAATATTTTATAAGTAATAGATTATAATAATTTTAATTTTATTATATTTGACTTTTGAAAAATAAATTGTAGTTCGTATATAAAGAATGTATGTAGCTTTTTAATTCCTAAGGCTGTGCAGTAGATATCTTCTATATGCCTTCTGTTAAAACATTAAGTTAAGAGATTAATTAATAAGCAAAGAATTACAATTAAAACGAGCAATTACAAAAAACAATATTATTTACTTAGGTTGAGACATAAATAATGAGCCCCCCATGTGCTAAACGGATTAAATAATTATTAAAATTCGACTAAATGTTTCCTCTTAATTCCGCGAAATCCCAATATCCCTAAATTCTATGTATCCCTCATATCCCTTCATCCCTCGTTAATCCCTGAAAGTAGGGTTCTTAATCCGATTTCAGACAGTTCCGAGTTCAGACACATTCGTCACTTCCGAGTGACCCTGCTCACCACGACTTACACCTCAATAAAATTGTTATTATTGGAAATAAATTAGGAATTGAGGTGAATTAGGCGATAAATTAGGCATTTCTATAATTTTAATTTTTTTTCGTTTCGTTTTCGTTTCGTACATTTATGAATTTATTTTTTTTCGTTTTCGTTTAGTTGAGGCGAAAATTCTATTTTCGCCCATCTCTGGTTCCAGCTCATCACTAGGGTGGGGAATTAATAGAGACTGGGGAATTAATAGAGGCTGGGGGATTAATAGAGGCTGGGGGATTATTGTTTCAACCCATCCATAGGGTGGGGAATTAATAGAGACTGGGGAATTAAAAGAGACTGGGGAATTATTAGAGTAAATACGGTATGTAGCTTTTTAATTCCTAAGGCGGGTGGTGTAATTTGGGCTGATCACTCCGGTCTACTGAAGAATAAGCTTTTGTACTAAATATATACATAATATGTTAGTTTTTTAGTCTTTGCCAAAAATGATAAAAATTTCAATTAAAAAAATTTTGTTTGAAATATAACAAAAATATTTTACGTAAAATATTAATAAATTCCTATTATTTAATAGTTTTTTTAAATATTAAAAAATTTTCTATATATTCTATATGCCTTCTGTTAAAACATTAAGTTAAGAGATTAATTAATAAGCAAAGAATTACAATTAAAACGAGCAATTACAAAAAACAATATTATTCACTTAGGTTGAGACATAAATAATTAGCCCCCCCATGTGCTAACGGATTAAATAATCATTAAAATTCGACCAAATGTTTCCAGACTTCGAATTATATTTTTTATGATCCTAAGTGAGTTGCCTATTTTCTGGCAAAAAATCAGAATCCTAGGATTAAGCTGGCAGGAGTTATAGGTAAAATACCAGAACTTGTATTTTTGAAAAAAACTTGTATAAAACTTGCATATATTGCTACTTTTTGTTTTTTCTTTGCTAAATTGATGAGTGAGAATGAAAATTTAAATAGATTCTGATAGACAGAATTATTTCGGGTGATTTGTGTAGATTAAGGGGATAACGAGTGATAACAGAGGAATGAGATGGATATCAAGGGATTAAGCGGGATTTGGGCTGATTATCGTGGGATTTGGGTTATTAAGAGCAAAATCTGGGAAATTCGGGAGATAATTAAAATATCGTCGAATTACTATCTTGCGGACCGGGCCGGACCCCCAACCTTAATTTTATGTCTATTATTTCAACAAATTATGATGAAACATTAAAAAAATATCTAGTTAAATTTTGCGAAACAATCGGAAAGATTTTTATGCATTTCCTAAGAACTTTTAATCTCATCTCAATTAATTTCATTTTTGCACTTTCATTGTATTTCACAATTTAAATAATCTATTTACGAGAGAGACATATCTTAAATCTTTATTAATTTAGCTATTTACTTTCTTACATCATTTCACGTAATATTTAAGTCGGTAATGATAAACCGGTAAACTGACTTTTACTTAAAGTTCAAGCCAAATTTGTATTTACTTTCTAAATATAAAGTGCATCTAAAGTTGTGAAATATACAAAAAATAGTAATATCAATTAAACAAATTTTGTCTATTTAAGGTCTATCTAATTTGAGCCAATTAAGGACTTTTCACAATTATTATTCATACAACATAATAAATATGGCAAATGTCTAGTTTATCTATCTAAGGTCTATTTAATACAAAAAATTTTTTTGTATTAAAAAATTACAAAAAATGGCCCAGGGGGATAAACATACGGGCCCAGGGGATAACAGCTTACATGTCCTCAATGGGATTGCGCGCCTTTTTCCTTTCTTTGCATTTTTTGCGTTAGGAAAAATTTTTTTTATTTCAAAATTTTTTTTGTTATATTATGCCCTCAAAGGGAGATAAATGAAATAATAACAAAGTAAAACAAATAATCTTTATTTTATAAATGATCAAACATAAATTTGGGGTAACATTTTCGAATATATTTCTAAAAGATCAGGCCCGTATTATCTCAACTTTATTTTCTTTTACTCCTCACGCCTACCTCTTTTCGCTTTACTCTTTTACATATTTCACGGTCTTTAGAGGGTGTACTTTTTAAACCCCCAAAAAAGTCAAGACCGAGACCAAGACTACACTTCAAGTCCGAAAAAACCCCAAGAAAAGTCTTAAGTCAAGACTCAAGACCAAAAGTCTCGGGCAGCTCTACTGAGTCCTAACATATTCACCAAATACTTACAAATTATTATCAATTTTTTCGATTTTCGAAGGGATTTTTTGTTCAAAACAGCTCTGTTCACAAGTTTTGAAAATTAAATTTGACGGAGATTATAAAATATTTTTTTACTTTTTAGAGAAAATGTTTAAATTAATTCTCTTAATTATTTTCATTTTAATTTTTGTGAATATTTCACAACCTAACAAAAGTTGTAAATATTCGAAAAATGGGAAGGAAAATAAAATTTCTAACAAAATTTCCCTCCGTAGACACAAAAGAGGTTTAAATACAAAAAATGATTGTGAAGAAGAAGCAAGTTCTAGTAGTCAAAAACATTTAAACAAAAATGTTGAAAAATTAAATTTGACGGAAAAGAAAAGGGGGTTGTACATTTGTGACAACTTTTTCTACTCACATACAAAATTTAATGTGATCATTATTATAATTAAAGGGATGGACTAAAGTGTAAAGTGTACACTATGCGGCCTTACTACAAGCCGCATAGTTTCTATTTGAAACATAACATTCTATTCGCCTCGTTAAAGTACACTTAAGTATATTTAATGAGAATTATGGCTTTAAGTTCCGAAAATGAAGATCTGTTTCAGACACTATATTATGCTTTAAAATAAGTGAGATTCACAAAAACTTTAACATAAATTTTGTTTTGATTTGTATGTATTGCGTAAATTCGTAAAAATTTAAAAGTTTTTGTTGTACAGAAAATCCTTAAGGTTTAAATTATTAATTGAAAATTTCAGGAATTATTGGCCAACATTTTAACTGAAGAATATAAATTGGTAATTACTTTAATTTTAATTTAAAAATTCAGTTTAAATAAATCTATACAACCTGGGTTCTCAAATAATCCAGTCAGGCTTTGGAAAATTTCGCTGGATGGCTCTGGGTTTCTTGTCGAAAAAGGTCTGGAGTTTGGATATCGCACATTGGGCAAACTCTGAGATCCCTTGTTAAATTTGGAGGGCAGTAATTTATGTCAAATCACTGTCCTCTTAATTCTATCTACAGAGGGAATAAATAAGAATACTCTTAACAAAAATTGTTTTTTAATTTAATATTTTATTTAAAAATATAGCAGTCAATTTATCAATCATTATTTCATTTCCAGGATGTTGTAGTTTACACACTAAGTGTAATTGGACATCCTATAGACCCGAAGAATTTTAATAAAATTATTTATGTTCCAATAAGTGAAAATAAATTGGATAAAAATATAATAGAAAAGGAAGGAATTGAAAAAGCTTTCAATGTATTTAGATACGATATAAAATTTGATATAGGAATTTATGAAGGTAATAAATTTTAATAAAATTTAATATCCCTTTTAATCCTCAAAGAAATAATTTCAAACAAACAAGTCATTATTGGAGAGGAAATGGTTGGAGTTTATGACTGGTTAAGCAAACAAAAATATTCTTTTGGAATTGCTGAATTTAATAATATTGTTGGCGCTCTTGCTGTCTTTGAGGCTTTAGGAATTGAAAATACTTTTGATGTTTCTGCTGTTCCATTCATACAAGGATATTTTCAATATCTCGGAATGGCTGTTACGTTATACAATATTCCAGGTATTTTATTAGTGAAACTAGAAATTAAGTTAAAAGATATTTATCCCGAAAA